GGCCCCTTTTACATCAGGGGCTCAATCCTCAGACCAGTTACTGCCCAGGAAAGTGGAGTTTTCTGATGGGAGAGGATTTTATCATAGGCTCTGTGTCCAAAAAAGAGGATATTAAGTAGATAAAACAAAAACCCGCACAGTCCGGTATGCCTCCCACTACGAGGGCCTACCCGTTCAGTCGCAGGAACCATGCCCTCTACCTGGAATACCCCTCAGAATGCTGTCTGCACAACCAACCCCTGCACACACCCACACCCCCAACAGCTGAACCCACCCTTGGGCCACCTTGGCACCTTGTACATGCCTCTGTTGTTCCACTCACTCACTCACTTGTTCCTTGGTTCACAGAGCAGATCCTTAGTGCACATTGCACCCAACTCCTCTTGGGTTGTGAGTTTCATAAAAGCAGAGATCCTGTCCCTGTCATCTCGGGATCTTCAACCTCTGCCAGAGTGCTTGGCCCACCATCAGGGCCTGGTAACTGCTAGATGCCACTTGCTTGGATGTGGGGTGGCATGCAGGACTTAGCCATCCCCTGCTGGATGGAAAACCTGGAGTGCTGCATACGGAAGGAGGAACTGCTTGCCATGGGTTGCCCAGCGTAGGTCATGAATTTCTCTTTATTCCCAGCAGATTCCTCATACCCCAGACTTTCAGGAAGGACTCCGTGCATTCTATATAGCAGTGAATGGCAGAATTCAACCTATAACACATCCCTAGTTTGCCCTGCTATATCACGCATGGAAAGTGCTTATTTTTCACATATTGAATCTGAGAGCCTAAGAGGTCAGGGTGACCAATTTGAATTCCTTGGGGTTAAAAATTTCTTGGTGGTGCTAACATATCTCCAAAAATGCCATGCTTATTGTCTCTTAAGTCAACTGCATAGTTGCCACGTAATTTCCTGACTGCTTTGTCCTTCAGTCCTGGTTCTCTTCTCTAGGGCCACAAGGAAAGAGGTCACTCCCATTTCTAATGGCCATTTCACTTCATGTTTATTTATTTATTCATTCATTTATACAGCCAGCCCTCCATATCCATGGGTTCTGTATTCACAGATTCAGCCAAATGAGGATCAAAAGTATTCAGAAAAAAATAAAAATATAAAAGGGGGGTTTCCAGTCAATATGGTGGAATAGACAGTCCCCGGCGTCACACTCTCCCACAAATCAACCAATTTACAACTATAAAAAAGCAACAACAGCCAAGCTGGGGCCACTAGAGCTCAGGGGAAGAGGAGGAGAGACCTACAGAGTGCGTGAAGGCAGGAGAAGCCACGATGAGAGAAAAAAAAACACTCTGAACATTTCGTGCCATGGCCACTTTAAGGCTGGAGCTGCTGAGTGCTCAGAGCAGGAGCCAGCAAAAGCCACAGCTGTGCCCTTCAGATGCAGTTGCTCAGAGGCAGCAGGGGAGAAGAGGGCATTGGTGGCCTCAGGCCAGCAAGACCAGTAATAGGGTTCCCATGGACCCACATAGTATCAAGGAGCCACAACAACTGATAAAAGGAGCCACTCAGAGGCCGGTGAGTAATCACAAGGGACCAGCACATGGCCCATCCCATGGGAAGTGTTTGGAACATGGGCAGTGGAGGAGATGGGCCCACTGGGGGAACACTGGGACACATCAAGGTCAGCCAGTCTGTGCCCCCAATCAGTGCAGGACCACTCAGAGGAGACTGGTCAGGAATATAGAATTGCATAGGGTGCAGTTTGATGAAAAGACTCAGGCCCAGATCAGAGTTTCTACACAACCCAGGTGCACTGGGTCTCTGGAGAGCCGGAAGTACCTATAAAGTCAACCATTAAAACCTGAGCTGCACAAAAATCTTTCCCTAGGGAATCAGCAGCAAAGCAACAATTTAGGTCAACCACAGGGCTCAAGTACTGGTCCCCACAGGAAGTTCCTCCATTTTAGAAGTAAGCAAAGGACAAAAAATTAGTCCATGAGGCATGGAGCCAGGGACCAGACCCCCCTCCCACAACCAAGCACACTGACAGCACCAAGGAGCATGCCAAAAACATCACCTCCATGTGGGTGGCCCACCACAGCCACCACAATAACCATGGCTGCTGCGAAAGCGGCTAGATGCCACAAACACCATGCAGATGGTCTGCCAGCCACTGGAGGGCATTGACACAAGGAGAGTCACCAGCAGAGACCAAAAAAGAAGAGGATGTCTCTCTCCACAAAGCCCATTCCAGAGTGACAGAAGAA